CACCGTGTTGTGCGTAGAAGCTTTGACTTGACTGCAGATGTGCAACGCACCGGGTGACCTTGATGGACAACTTCACCATTGACCATCAATTAAAAAATAAAATTGCTAGAATTTGTCTAGTACCACATCAAATCAGGTTCTCCGTGACCCATGTTGCTGATTTTGAGACGCTCATTCTGAATATGAAATCAGTTTTAAGCTGCAATAATTATTTTTAAGATTTTGTACCCGAAGTTTAATCTTGCACGGCTGCAAATTTTTAAGTAAGTGATTCTACATCACAGCACGTTTCCTCCAAATCTGACCGTGACCGAACGAAAAATAGCAAGCAGCGCTTGATTTCTCGACCGAGTCTCCAAGTCATCATCCAATCGTCCAAACTTTGTACAATTGTGTGATTACACCAAACGATTTATCGTATGATCGATAGATCGCCCAGTTTGTGTACAATTTATCGTTACGTGTAACCAGGCCTATGTTATTCGGATGCATGCTCTAAGGTCATATGAATACTTGTAACAAGATGGTTAAGATGGGAGAATGTGGATGGATTATGGTAAAAATGACCTTCTGTATCTTTTCACTTCTGACTGGAGTTTTAATATACTTTTTTAAAGTTTTAGTAAGAATTTTACGGCGCATGCAACACAGCAACTTTCAATTAGGTCTTATAAGTGCCAAAGATTAGAGGTGTTACAAGAGAGTAACAAACATAAAACAGAAGGAGGAGAGATCAGGACGATAGATGTTTGATAGGAAAGTAGGAGCAAACCACACCAGAGTACCCGCCAACCACCCACATGTTTTAATTTGAGGGAACAAGCGATGTTTATTGTCGAAAAAGATGGAACCATTTTTTTTAGTGCAAGCTGTGGTGTACTATTCATCCAAGTAGGTGAATGCAGATGTTGAAACTATCTATCTATCTATCTATCTATCTATCTATCTATCTATCTATCTATCTATCTATCTATCTATCTATCTATCTATCTATCTATCTATCTATCTATCTATCTATCTATCTATCTATCTATCTATCTATCTATCTATCTATCTATCTATCTATCTATCTATCTATCGAATATAATATAATGTCGTTCATCTGATATAAAATGCAATGACAATGTCAAATAATCGTGGAGTGTTACTAGATCAGGATAATGATGTTATAATGT